AGCCATTTTTATTCAGAGAACGTGCTCGCTAGCTTTTTAAGATAGTTTTTAATTTCCTCCTACTTACAACGAGCAGGAAAAGTGTTTTCTGTATCATGATTGACAATTTTTTTTAAACTTTGGTCCCGAAAGTTCAAGTTCATCTTTTTTTTCTTTCTATCAGCTTATATTTCCTTCCTAGCTTCAGCTAATGGTTTATTTTAATCCATAAACTTTAAATTATCAAATTACTGGATTTTGTTTCTCTGATGTGGTTGTGTTTAAGTCTAGGTTTCTCTTCATCTTTAGTAAAGTCCATGCGCTGTGTAATTGAAAAGTCTCGCCTTCGTTTTTAATGACGCTGTTTCCACTGTCGAAACTACACATTTACCTTTAGCTGTTCCTTAATTAATGGTGAATTTCCAATTCATGGTAAAGTCTTTTCATATTCCTGTTAACCTTATTCATCCAGTTCTTTGTTGTTTTGAGTTCCTTCCCAACACAATTTACGTCAGTGTGTGCAGTTTTATAAAGGAATGAATATATCTAATTAATTTCCCTCTGCGTTTTTTGGTACATAATCGAAGAAAACTAGTTAGTGTATAAAAAAAAACTATTTTACATAGTGCATGCAGGCTAATAGCCAGTTTAAAATATTCGGTAAAATACGGTAGGCCATTACGAGGTTTTAGTGGATAAACTCAATGGCCGTAACATTTGCTTCCAAGCGTGCCACTCAATTAGCACAGTTGGAAACACATTAATGTTTATGCAGCTCTAAGCCGAAGAGATTTTCGTATATTTAAACTTTTGGTTCGCAGATGTCTCAAAGCAAGACATTTTTAAGCCCTTAGTTTACTTCTGTAGAGGGCGGACGCGCTGCTCCCACCGCTTTTTCCCAAAAACTGAACTATATCTACAACAGGAAAAGGATGTTTCGGCAAGTTTAAGGGAAAGAGGCCTAAAAGGTATCTAAAGCATATCTGAATAGATTACATTTTGTCATTGTGTCACTCATTATTCCATCGCTTGGTGTGTTTTGGTTGGGTAATGTCAAACGTTTGCTTTTACGTGGAGCTTTATAGGACCTGATAATACGAGCAGTCGGGTTTTCGACTGGTTTTGATTCTTTAGTAGCAATTTGTAAACAATCTATTGTCTAAAAACCATTTCTCCAATCCAATATTTGCGCGGTCGCGGATCCATTTGAATTGTCGATTTTTCTGTAAAAAAAAAACGCACAATCGAAACTATAGGTCCAAAAAATCGGAGATNTTTTTTTTTTTTTTTCCTTTTTTTTTTTGAACAAAGTGGCTGTTGATTACAGCAAGTGGAATACAATCGAAGCCAGGAGAAAGATGATTTGTAATTATCTGGTTAAATAAATTTATAGAAGAAGACAACGCGGAAATGTAACAGGAGAATATGAAAGTCAGATAAAAGTTTAACAAGTTATTTCAAAATAAAAGTGTATAAAAGTTGAAAACTGAATCCCTTGTGTTTTTAAACCTCACCATACAATAGTAAAAGGTGATTTCAGAAATTATAATTAAGTTGCATAAAACAAAATTTACGTTTTAAAAGGCGAGCTGAACTAACGTACGTTTACGATTTTTCAAGCACCATTGTTTTATTTGTTAAGGTTCAACAGTGTAAATTGTAAGTTAAACGCTTTAGATATATAATTATTTGTTATATTAATTCTCTTCATTTATTGGTGTTTTTTCTACATTTGTTGTACTGGTTAGCATCCACATAAGTTATTGCTTATTTTTATTCCACTATATCTAGTCTTATAAAAGACCACATTCAAATTCAACTTGTCATGAACAACTTAAGATGGATAGAAACACATCCGAAACTTTTTAAGGCTGTTAAAAGGTTTCTTGGAACCGGCAGGAGAGGGGTTTGTCGAAACATACATGTATCTTGTCTTTTGTTGCTATGAATCGTCACATATTTATAACAAAGGTCTGCGTTATATTCCTTCTGGTGGCTACAAATGTGTAAAATGCGGGCATTAGGCAGATACATAACCTGTCTGACACAAAAATTGTCAAGTTTCTTTTAATAATTGAGCTCTGTCTACCAAACAAGATTACACTTTAGTCCCAAGCACCGCTTTTTATAAATTTAAGTTAGTCCACATTTGATTGCTTTTACGTCGAAGAAAAAAAACACTCAAACGTAGAAAGGTAATGTATTTAAATATGTATGTCTCTAAACCATGCTAACTAGCCGGCGCCTTTGTACGACAAACTCTTAAAATTAATTCAAAATTTAATTAATTAGTACTGCCTCTATCAGTTGATATTCTTTAGTGTCGTTCGCTGTTTTCTTACGTACAGGGAAAATTACAAGGAAAATTATGAAAGTATAATTACAACATCCCTAAATTCGACTTCTAGCATTTATGGGGGGATTAATGAGCGAGTTAGCAAGTTTCGTGTCAGCGAGTTGTTTTTTCATTGACACAACGTTTTAGCAGTGAAATACGAAAATCATAACAATTTACGAAGGGCCTTCAGCAAGGAGATAAAGTACTAAAACAAATAGGAAACGAATCATAGCTTTGACCACAATATTGTTTCCCATAGTGAAAAAGTGTACTGTTTCGTTTAGTGTGATTGCGAAAGAAATCGGCCAAATCCCTTTTTCCTCTCAATTTATGGCTATCGTCTTGAGTAGATTAAGTAAGTGTATTATTTTTCTTTGCTAAACTCCGTGGTTTCTTCGCCAAGGTGAATTCTCCAATGGCAAATTAAGGTTTGACATGGCATTAGACGCATAAAACGTTTCCCGTTTGCTGTAATGTTATACGTGCACAACGAAGCATGATTTCATCAGAGCAGTGAACTGACCAATCAAATTATTTCCCAGCATTGGCAAAATAATAGGTGATTGATATTATTATGATCAATTTAACCCTTCCAGGAAGCCTAAAAACTAAACAATGTCAGCAAAGGGTTTAAAGGCTTTAGACCGCCAATAGAAAATGTTCGTGGAAAGATAAACGAAAAGGTCTAGAAATCTCTAAAAGAAAATACCATCCAAACATTTCACGTCACCAACTTCCCCTCGAGAACATTTGAACTTTGAATAATGAGGGCACGTAACATTGATTTATCTAGCACGTTGAAGCTTTTTTATCAAAACAGTGAATAGCAAATACAAGCATATTGAATAGCTTAGATAAAGTACAAAGTAACAACAGAACCCTTTTGAATTCTGGTTGTGCGTGGAGGTCGTTGAAGAGATATCACTGAATGAAAGTGAGTATATTTTTCCGGGACTCGTACAGATACTAGATTCGAAGGTAATGTACATGTGAGATAAATACTGAAACCTGGTGAATAATCCTTGATATTTTTTTTATTATTTTGTTTAAACCATCCGCTTAAGACCGATTAATAATTTCCATAAAACAGATACACAAAAATATTGGATCGGTATCTCGAGATATCTGTCTGATCGCCCTAAAACGTTTAAAAAATTCGTTTAATACATGATCTCGTTTTTAAAATCAATTAGATGGTCATTTCTCTCCAGGCATGAGATAAACAGAGCCATTTTTATTCAGAGAACGTGCTCGCTAGCTTTTTAAGATAGTTTTTAATTTCCTCCTACTTACAACGAGCAGGAAAAGTGTTTTCTGTATCATGATTGACAATTTTTTTTAAACTTTGGTCCCGAAAGTTCAAGTTCATCTTTTTTTTCTTTCTATCAGCTTATATTTCCTTCCTAGCTTCAGCTAATGGTTTATTTTAATCCATAAACTTTAAATTATCAAATTACTGGATTTTGTTTCTCTGATGTGGTTGTGTTTAAGTCTAGGTTTCTCTTCATCTTTAGTAAAGTCCATGCGCTGTGTAATTGAAAAGTCTCGCCTTCGTTTTTAATGACGCTGTTTCCACTGTCGAAACTACACATTTACCTTTAGCTGTTCCTTAATTAATGGTGAATTTCCAATTCATGGTAAAGTCTTTTCATATTCCTGTTAACCTTATTCATCCAGTTCTTTGTTGTTTTGAGTTCCTTCCCAACACAATTTACGTCAGTGTGTGCAGTTTTATAAAGGAATGAATATATCTAATTAATTTCCCTCTGCGTTTTTTGGTACATAATCGAAGAAAACTAGTTAGTGTATAAAAAAAAACTATTTTACATAGTGCATGCAGGCTAATAGCCAGTTTAAAATATTCGGTAAAATACGGTAGGCCATTACGAGGTTTTAGTGGATAAACTCAATGGCCGTAACATTTGCTTCCAAGCGTGCCACTCAATTAGCACAGTTGGAAACACATTAATGTTTATGCAGCTCTAAGCCGAAGAGATTTTCGTATATTTAAACTTTTGGTTCGCAGATGTCTCAAAGCAAGACATTTTTAAGCCCTTAGTTTACTTCTGTAGAGGGCGGACGCGCTGCTCCCACCGCTTTTTCCCAAAAACTGAACTATATCTACAACAGGAAAAGGATGTTTCGGCAAGTTTAAGGGAAAGAGGCCTAAAAGGTATCTAAAGCATATCTGAATAGATTACATTTTGTCATTGTGTCACTCATTATTCCATCGCTTGGTGTGTTTTGGTTGGGTAATGTCAAACGTTTGCTTTTACGTGGAGCTTTATAGGACCTGATAATACGAGCAGTCGGGTTTTCGACTGGTTTTGATTCTTTAGTAGCAATTTGTAAACAATCTATTGTCTAAAAACCATTTCTCCAATCCAATATTTGCGCGGTCGCGGATCCATTTGAATTGTCGATTTTTCTGTAAAAAAAAAACGCACAATCGAAACTATAGGTCCAAAAAATCGGAGATGGTGTTTCGCCCTAGTTACGTAGTAACGAAAGGATTTTGGAAGCAGTTCGATAAATTTAAAGCTTCCTTTTCAAATCTCTCGTTGCTAATGAAATTATCAACGTGATCATCTTTTCTAGAGCTTAGCTTAATATCACCTGCTCTCAGTGTCCAGTGCAAATAAAACCGCCATGAAAGTGATGTTTTTAATCTTATGTCCCACAGGGTGTGCGCGCGAAAACGCACTAGATATCAACTGATCGCAGTCAAGGACTGAAGACAACGTTTAGACAACGTCGCCGGGATACATCAACGCGGAAAAAAATCAGGTCTATTTACAGACTAGAAATCTGCGGCCCTTGTTGTGGTACTCCATCTAGATCGCGCGAAACCGCTAACTGTTAAAGAGAAGAGTGCTTTCAATATGGATTTTGAAGCAACGTCGCAGTTTGACAAATCGCGTATCTGGATAAATGTTGGGGGATTTCGCCATGAAACGCATATGTCCACACTCAAGAATATTCCGGACACAAGACTTTATTGGATCGCAGAGAACCATTCGACCGAAGGCAAACGGGAGTATTTCTACGATCGCCATCCAGGAGCATTTACGCAAATTTTAAACTATTACCGCACTGGAAAACTACATTATCCAACAGATATGTGCGGGCCGATGTTCGAAGAAGAGCTATGTTTTTGGGGAATTGACGAGAAACAAATGGAGCCGTGTTGTTGGGCTATTTACACCAAACATCGCGAAGCGGAGGAAAATCTGAAAGCTTTTGTAGGTCCCGGGTTTGAGGACCTCAAACAAAATGACCTTGAACGCTCTTCGTCTGACATATCTGGAATCGATGAAAAGAAAGATAATTTCTGGAAACGGATACAACCAAAAATTTGGAATATTATGGACGAACCTCATTCGTCGAAGCTAGCGAAGGTAGGAAACTATTATCTGTTAAAACAGTGCAGTTGTCTTTTTGCGGCAAAATAACATTTGTTTAGTGGTTTCCCTATGACAAAGAAAATCACCAAGAATCCTCAGAAATGGAGACGTGTTACTGATTGCAAATTCAATTTAAATTAAAACCTGTTTTTCTGCATCGCAGTCAAATGGTAATAAAAAAAAAAGTAGTATCTCCTTCGCTAAACCGGCTTGCCGTAGGCTATGTCCACGGATTCTGATCTAGAGCCGGATACATGCACCACACAATTTAGCCCACAAAGATCAATCTCAGATCTCAGATTTGTCTCAGATTGTTTCATTTCCACCCCATCAACTGAATTCACCTGTTCCAGTCCCAATATTGAGCCTTTTTCAGTTCAGGGAAGGCAGACTAGATGAAAATAGGGAAAGCAGCATTAAATTTCCTACATGACCATCGTCTGTTTCTTAATTCAATTTTGAGTTTACGCGTGTTGATGGCTGTGTTTTGCATAGTGTGGACGTCACGCCGTATTTTGAGCAGTCAATTTCAAACAAGGATACTTCAAAAGAAAAATGACCGATTCACAAGCAGCATAAATCACTTTAGTGTTTAGATATTCACATGCTTTGCCTTAGAGCAAAGAAAAGGCCATAACTGACACTCGAACGAGCCAAAATGCATTTAGGTGGTAGAAATGGATAAATATTATTCCCTGCACCTTTGGAAATTTATTTTGAATATTAACTGGCAAGGAATCAGCTTGCTTTGTGCGACGCGCTTTCAAGAACACGATACCTACGTTGAAAATAATTTTTTCTGTTTAATTTTGAGAATAAAACAACGAATGCGCTGGATTATAAGTGTAAACAGTACCAAGTCAAGTCACGGAGCGGAGATATAAACATTAATAAGGACTTTTTTCCTTCGCTTTTATGAATACACACGAAAATACTTAAAAAATAAACTCTACTGAAAAATTCATTAATCACTTTTAAATAATGAGCATTAAACAAGGAGCTACGTTCTCTAGATCTGCTATTAATCTTTCGACAATCGGGTCTATGCTCAAAAAGCGAAGCGAACGAAGCATAGCGCTATGGCGGATGTCGCCGCTAATTAACAATCGCTAATGAATTCATGTTTTGGAAGCATCATTTTCATTGACCAATCAGAGCACTTGGTTAGACAGGTGTCCTTCGACGTCACCAAAAGTAATTGAGGCTATTAATTGCATTGTGTTGGTTTATTTTCATTGAAACCACAACGCTAAGCGATCCTTTGTCCAGGCTATTAAGTTGGCAAAAATTTAGTGCTTTCTGTTCAGAAAATTATTGTTTTCGTTTGATCGTGTTGCTGGTTTTTTCTTTTTTTTTTTNAGTGGTTAATTGTAATTAACGTATTGTAAGTAAGTTTTATTGTAATTATTGTTTTGTAAATAGTTTATCATAAGTTCGTACTGTAAGTGAGTTATTTTGCCGGTAATGTATTGTAGTAGTATACTGTCTGTAACTTATTTTTAAGCATGGAATTGTCATATATTATTAACGAAATTTCGCAGAAAAAGGAAAAATTATACAAAAAACATGACACTCTTTCAAGAAATTTTGCTAATGAATTCATTCAGGAGCTACAGTCGCGCCAGTGCGCGACCTTAACGTACACTTCCATCACACGAAGGGGGACAACGACGGGGACTTAACATGAATAGCCAGTTGCTAAAATCTAGAAAGGACTTTCAGTTTCATTTACATTTTAAATGCTTCTTGAGAACATTTAATGGGGCAAATGTATCGCAAAGTTACTTCGTATGAAAACTGCAGGGATTTCGATAGCAAATAGTTCTCATCATCCTCATCATGGTCATCGTAATTTTAATTAGTAATGTAGATTACAAAGATTGGCAGCCAGTGAGGCTGATATGTGGACCTACAATTAACTGATAAAATGTGAAACGATAAACATATACATGGATTCCTGTCTTAGATATGAATCACATATTCAAGTCAGTTAGGAAATGATTTCACTGATAAGTAGCAATCGCGCTTTTAGTTTTCCAACATAGAGTGGTTTTCAAAAAAAGGGTCGAAAATGTCAAAAAGTGTTGAAAGTATTAAGGCAATAACTTTGGTTTTGGTTTTAGTTTTGCGTTTACCACGGTTTCAGATTGGCTGAATAGTCTAAGTAAGTAAGTAAGTAATTGGCTTGGTTTTTGATTTTACAACACTGGCTCAATTGAAAACCGGTATGCCAGTCTGCAAGGCCATGCCTACATAAATGTAAATTTACATCGTAGTAACGATCAAGCTGCTGTCGTGTTGCATAATTTGATCTTTCATGTACATTTTTTCACTTTTCATTCACAGGTCGTGTCATATCTCTCGTGTTTCTTTATCAGCTTGTCAATTGCAGCATTTTGTGTCTCTACATTACCGGGAATTCGCACAGAAGGAACTATCATGGGCAGCCCTTACTGGTTAAGCCTTCTAGAACTTGTCTGCAGCAGCTTTTTTACTCTGGAGTTTCTAATGAGGGTGGTCTTCTGCCCCACAAAACTGCTCTTCTTCAAGAGGCCCATGAACTGGATCGATTTGATATCTATTTTACCGTTTTATGTATCACAAGTGTCAGATGACGACAAAGTGAAGATGTTCTTGGTTATTCGAGTGCTGCGATTATTCAGGTATTTTGTTAATAACTAACAGTAATTGAAGCAAGTGAAGTACAATCAGGGAGTTATCGCGCGAGTAATGGAAGTGCGTGAGTGATCTAAAATTACGAGCACGCAAGATTACTCCCTGAATTACACGATACAAGGTCCATTACTAATTAATCGTATCAATAACAACTTTCGAGATTAAAAAAGTCTTTTGAGAACTTCATTTGAGCGCAAAAGTCAGTAGTTTTTTTTAATAAGTTGTAAAAACTAGAGAAAACATTAAGAAGGACGTCATTTAAGTTCTTGTAACTGACGTGCGAATTACAAGAAGTCGAAATTGGATACCTGTAATTGAACACCCACGTGATCACCGCCGATTACGTGACAAATAGGTGCGCGAAGAACCAATCACGATCGAGAATTTTGTTATATAGATTCGATTAAAAGGAAAATCGGTCAATTCAGCTCTCGCTCTACAGGGCCAAGTTGTTCGGATGCCGGTTAACACTAACCCCGGATTAAAACTTAACTGGAGTTTCAATTTTTCTGGTCTAAAACTGATTTTCGCTTATTATGTTTTGTGTTGTTTGAGATTACTTAAGCTCAAAACTAAAGGACAAACAATATAAACAAAAAAACTCACCGAAAATTACAAAACTGAAATCAAAAATCTCGCTAATCCTTGGTTTAGCCTCACTGGGCTTTGACCAACCCCGCCCAGGAGGCCAGAATTTTACCTGAGATTGGACAGAGAAATACCCCATAATTACCTCTCTGTCCAATCAGAGATACCTCTCGAATCTCCATAGAACTACGTCATTTTTTCATGTCGTTCCACGAGTTTTTGTTTCTTACTGTGCAAACTTGACAAACCGAGCTACTCTCGCGAGTTCCGTTACAGGCTCGATTTTGACTGGTTTAAAAAACGATGGAAATGAGCGGAAGGAAAACATTAACGACCCTACTGAGCCACGTGTTTGTCAGAAAGATATGTGTAAGATTCTGGGTACGAGGTTGGTCGAATCTAAGACCTCACTCAAACAGAATACCTAGGAATTGAGATCGCAGTGAACCGTATTCAATTTACCATTACTTAACTTACAAGTAAACTTTAGTCGATTATTCAGTTAAAGACATAAAAGAACCAAATATCATATAGTAAGTTTTGAAAACAATTCAGAACGTTATAGCACTGATGCACGAATTTTGTTGGAACTTATTTGTGAAACACCCTCGTCATTGACTTAATCGCAACAGTAAACACAACGTTAAACGTGTCGTTAAAAATCGTCTCCTCCACCATTATCTTTAGAGACTAGAGACCTAGCACTATCGTCGCTTACATCTAAGCGTGAACACGTGACGCCGAAACATGCTCTAATTGGGTGTCAAACATTTGAAGTTTAGCGGGCCGTAAAACGAACTTTCGCACTTCGAAAGACTCTGAAAGTCTTGCTCCCACCAATATTTCATGGTTATACTTGAAGTAAAACAACTTTCACGAAAGGCGTATGCACATTGACACAGGTCAGGGTCAATTTCTCTGACTGAGAACTCTTCAATGTCCAATCTTTCTGTCATTTCGTGTGCTGATCTATTAGCGCGAAAGTTCGCGACGGTATTCTGTGAAAAAATAAAGCTTGTGGCTTTTCTGATCATGATGAATCTTTATCCTCTATGTAGAACTACCTTTTGTCATGTACTGTTGGTAATGTACCATATATCTGATTTGACTTGCATGTTTGTGATAAAGTTACTGATTATGGTGAAGTAAATGGATTCTTTCATTCCAGGTTCGTGAAGTTGTCTTACGGACTGCAGATTATGATTCACACACTGAAGGCCAGTTCACATGAGCTTGTTCTCCTTCTTCTTATCCTGTTGATACCAGTGGTGATGTTCTCAAGCATTGTCTACTACATTGAAATTATGATCGATAACCAGTCGGTATTCAACTCAGTCCCACAATCCTTCTGGTGGTGCCTTATCACCATGACGACGGTGGGATACGGTGATCTCACCCCGCAAACGTGGCCGGGAAAAATAATCGGAGGAGCTTGTGCAGTTTGTGGCGTGCTGATCGTCGCTCTGCCCATATCGGTCATCGGCAGTAACTTCAGCTTATATTATGCACATGCGCAAGCCAGGCTCAAGCTGCCAGTCAAACAACATCGACTGGTGCTTGGGGGTGTCCCGGGCTTGTTGACAAAACATCAGGAACTGAGTTCCCGTAGAAAGAAAAAGTCTACCGCTGTGCCAAACCACCTTGATGCAGAAATGAGCTTTGTCACTGAGCGTACATCACTCCGATCGTCGATGCCTCACAGTCCATTATTGGAGCTTCGTAGAGCCACAGTCAGAACTGTTCATGACTCGGATGTTGATCTCCTCACGGGAGAGGATGAGGAGAGGAGTGTCTCATCTCCCCTACTTAAGCCAAGTCCTCAGTTATGCCCAAGAGGTAGGAAAATGTCAAGAAGCTGAATATTAAATCGATAGCTCACTTGCACGATGTCGTCATCTGAATGCAACTTTCATAATTCTGTTCGTTTTTCCTGTAAAATTATTATTGTGAAACCACACTGGGGTGAAAAAGCAGTTGCCCTGATAAGCATTAGAAAATGAAAATGCAGTGAAGGAATAATTTAACTGAAGTGCATTCAAACAATTTTTTAAGTCGGCAGTATTGGCAACCAAAAATCTCAAGAATTATAGTTTTGGACTTTTATTTTCCCTGTGACCGATTTAAATTTAAAACCAAGTAAAAGCTGAGAAAATAACTCGGAGCAAGGTACGAGAATCCACATCAAACTCACCTTGTATATGTCTCCCGAGCAAAATTGAACTCGTGCCACTTATGCATTGTCTAGGCGTGCCAACCAGAAACAAAAAAGAATTATTCCCAATGGCCTTAAATCGTTTTCCTTTAACTAATTACCTTTCATTATCTTTTGAATGTATTGTCTAAACTTTTATTCTCCAGTTATTTTCCGATTACAATCGGTTGAATAGTTAATTTCAGCTTGCACTTGACTTTTCAGCAGAGGATTGATAGCAAAAAGAACAGTTGGGAAATATCAAAATGTATATCGCGCGTGCAAAACTTTGCAACACTCTTTAACTCATTTCATTAATTATGTTTACAAGTGCCCCTCTAAATCATGTGGTAGCAGACTTCCACCATCAACAGGTAATTTGCAATGGTCTAACAAAGACTTCAATGCCCAATTAATCTTTTTTTCTTCCATAACACAGGGCTGTCCGTCGTACTAATACGGTTCGGCAGCACCACTGTTGATACAAAAAGGCATAGGTTTTCGCATTAATTATAGCATTGGCTGCGTTCAGGATCTTGGTTTTTGGCACCGAGGTTCATGTAACATTAACGGTATCCTGTACACTTTATGAACAGCATCTCGGTCAGTGTAATGCAGAAGCTACCCCCTTTTCTTAGAGTTGCCAGAAAAAAAAATGGCCAATTATGCTCCTTGTGAAAGATTTCGAGCCTGCAATCTTATACAAGACTCAATCAACTCTTGCTGAGAAAAAATGAAATTTACACCTTCCTTTTCCCTGCCCAGGTCTAGCCGAGGGTAACAAAGGTGCAAATTTTCAAGCAAATCCAAGAAGAAGGCCACGTCGAACATCTGGGACACTAACACCACGTAGAGTCCTCCCTGATGAGACAGGAAAGGAGGAAGAAGATTTGCAGCAGCATTCACAGCAGTTTTCAGGTGCAGAACAGAGCACTGCGGAGTTAAACAGCAACGACCAAGTGCCTGGGGCAATTCCAGCCTCACGAAATCAAACACCTATTCAAGGTATGCAACCCGTAGGGGCCGTACCTGCACATTCGCCTGTGCAAAGTGGCGATGACCAAGGTGGAATGGCACTGCAAAATGAAACGGATCCTTTCGTTCCCTACGGAAGTCCTGGAAAAGGTAATATTCGTACAAAGTGGTTTCTAGAAGGAAACAATTGTACTAAACCAAAGCAAAGTAACCCAGGAGGAGGAGGAAGTGGAGGAGTTATGGTGAATGGGGCTGTTAACTCAACATACTTCAAGAGACCTTCCTTGGACTCTAGTAGTAAATCGTCTGCGGAGTTAGATACCAGTCAGTTATCTCCCTTGGAATATCCTCTTAAAAAACGAAAATCTCTTTCTGACTCACTGCTATGCACGGTTCCTCAAGATGGTGAAAAACTGCCAAGCAGCTGCCTTCCAAACGGACCTTCAACCGAAAACGGGAATGTAAATAACGGGCAGTACATTGACGCTCCGAAGGATAAACTTTCTCCCAGAACAGACAGGAAACCAAACTATTCCAAGCAAAATGGATCTCCTTTCTCTCATAAAAAGCCAGCTTCTGGCAATGGACCGTGTTGTAAGCATTCAGATGAAGACATTAATAACCAACGAAACAGGACCACGACACATCCGTGCTATGATCCCGTGGAACTGCCGAAGCGAAGACGAAACGCAGCTTGCACGGTTGCTATCTTATCGCCTGGTGACAGAAGTGGGAGTGACGATTTCTTGGAAACAAAGATTTAACGACGAAATGGAAAAGGAATAATAACCAAGTTAATTCTGCGTCGTTCTTGCCTCCAGAGAAAGACGAAGTTACTAGCTAGAGTAGCTAGCTAGCTGCCAGTTTGCTTGCAAGCACAGCAATATTACAGAGAATGTAAAGCCTCTAAATTAAGTGCAACGTTTTTGAGACTTTCTAGCTATGTCGAAGAACACGTACTTAAAACACATGTACTTTTTAACATAAGATTAGGTTACTGGTGATGTTCATGTTGGTGGGTATGCGGACCTTTACGAAAAAGTAAGAGTGAGAATTTTTCTACTTTAATAACTACCACTGCTGAAAAATGGCCGGGATTAAATCATCCTCGCGTTGAATATGACAACCATGGTTATAGAACTGGGAAGTATGTTGAGAGACCTGTATAAATAAACTCGGTTAATCAACCCGACAGCAGTCAATTGTTAAAAATTAAGGCGTGAATTCCCCATGGAATTTAATCTCAGTAGAAAAGTAGATGACCTTGTGAACTTGCTGGGATTTCAACCCACGACTTCCAAACAAGGTCACCGGTGCCCTGACGTACGAGCTAAGAACCAGTGGTGCTCAAGTCCTGGTTTATAAAGTGTTCGTTCGTGCTAGTGACGTAACTTTCATGAGATCCCGATAGTTCCTCTCATTGGTTGCCTGGTTACAGATTTCATGCGCGAGTTACATGTTCAACCAATCAAGAGACAATACAAGGATCTCGGTAGAGTTCCGTCATCGGTCCGGATTTTGCGGGGACGGATATCACATTTTTCTCTTATGAGATTGAATTGAGTATAAATGGAGAAAAGACTGTTCCCGAAGTTATAAACCACCCTTTCGATAGAAAGTTACCCAACAAGGATTGGTGCCACCACTGCTGACTCGTATACAGTCCCTAATATCTGGTTGGAGAAATTAATCCAGCTAAGTTACGCTACAGATATCAAACATTTCCAAAATAGCAAGTTGACCCTATTGGAAAAGGAGTATTTAAAATTCTCAAAACATCAGTTCTCTAATTATGTTATAACATCCCAAAAGTAGCAAAACCGGGCCGATCATGTTCTGTTTTAGATTTTTGTTTTCTTTTTGTTGGCGCAATGTGAATGGCTGTGGTACCTATAGACCAACTCACGAGATTTTATCGGCCTCAGTAATCAGAACGGAGAACTATAATTTCTTAAAAAGCAATTCAGTTTTGCATTACAATTATTGGAACCGTTCAATAGTTTATAGACTTCGATCTTTGACAGAAATTGAAAAGGAAGTATTAAGATAAAGAAACAAATTAAAGAAAGATTGCGGACATAATAGGCATAGAGACCAAGTTCGTAATTAAATCATTCAAATAAAATATCTTCTAGTAGGATATTCGATTTCCCGATCATGCTTAGTTTGAAGGAAATATCACAATCTTGTGTATGTGCTCGCCGTCGTTAAATTATGTACAGCATTATTTTACTCTTTGGTCCCATCCACACTACTCCGGAGAAATTTGAAAACGCAGCTTTATTTCTACGGTTAGGCCTACCGCCTACACTAATCCGTCACGAAAACGGAGCTTTTCGAAAAAGCTTTTAAAACTTGAGGATTTGAAAACGCCGTCTTTGTGTTTTCGTGTGGACGGAAAGCATTTTGAAAGCGTAGCATTTCGAAAACTATGAAATCATGACAATCATATAATTTACCTGCGAGTTTTCCTCAAATAAAAATCCAAAATGACCGGTGATTGTTGCGTTTTCAAATTCCTTCAACGTAGTGTGGACGGAAAACATTTCAGTAATGCGTTTTCAGAGTAAACACGCCGTTTTCAAATTTCTGTGACGTAGTATACACGGGGACGCCTACATTCACGCTTTTAAAAAAAAGTGTTAGTCTGTCATATGTTGTTTCCAGGCTCCTACGGCCTGAATTTCGGCTGTCTCCGGCTGCACTCTCGAAAAGGCATCACAAAACAAAACCAAATATTGGTGTAGCGAGAACTGAGAACTAATCAAATCATTTAATGCAACTGGTCTTCCCAACGCTTTATTCTGATGCAAATGAGTTTTTGTTTCCCTTGGCTTTGTTTCCGTTGACATATCATTCCTTTTCTAAACAGAATGTCCAGCTGGCTAGAGAATTGTCTTGAAGTCTAGTGTAACTTCAGGCGAATTGAACAAAATTCCCCGATATCACTCCATTAAAAATATTTACTTACAAAATGAGGACTATTATTTTTTGTGATGGGGTTCATTAGCGATAGTGAAAACACAGTTGAAATTTTGATATCCCGTCATATATTGCNNNNAGCATCTCGGTCAGTGTAATGCAGAAGCTACCCCCTTTTCTTAGAGTTGCCAGAAAAAAAAATGGCCAATTATGCTCCTTGTGAAAGATTTCGAGCCTGCAATCTTATACAAGACTCAATCAACTCTTGCTGAGAAAAAATGAAATTTACACCTTCCTTTTCCCTGCCCAGGTCTAGCCGAGGGTAACAAAGGTGCAAATTTTCAAGCAAATCCAAGAAGAAGGCCACGTCGAACATCTGGGACACTAACACCACGTAGAGTCCTCCCTGATGAGACAGGAAAGGAGGAAGAAGATTTGCAGCAGCATTCACAGCAGTTTTCAGGTGCAGAACAGAGCACTGCGGAGTTAAACAGCAACGACCAAGTGCCTGAGGCAATTCCAGCCTCACGAAATCAAACACCTATTCAAGGTATGCAACCCGTAGGGGCCGTACCTGCACATTCGCCTGTGCAAAGTGGCGATGACCAAGGTGGAATGGCACTGCAAAATGAAACGGATCCTTTCGTTCCCTACGGAAGTCCTGGAAAAGGTAATATTCGTACAAAGTGGTTTCTAGAAGGAAACAATTGTACTAAACCAAAGCAAAGTAACCCAGGAGGAGGAGGAAGTGGAGGAGTTATGGTGAATGGGGCTGTTAACTCAACATACTTCAAGAGACCTTCCTTGGACTCTAGTAGTAAATCGTCTGCGGAGTTAGATACCAGTCAGTTATCTCCCTTGGAATATCCTCTTAAAAAACGAAAATCTCTTTCTGACTCACTGCTATGCACGGTTCCTCAAGGTGGTGAAAAACTGCCAAGCAGCTGCCTTCCAAACGGACCTTCAACCGAAAACGGGAATGTAAATAACGGGCAGTACATTGACGCTCCGAAGGATAAACTTTCTCCCAGAACAGACAGGAAACCAAACTATTCCAAGCAAAATGGATCTCCTTTCTCTCATAAAAAGCCAGCTTCTGGCAATGGACCGTGTTGTAAGCATTCAGATGAAGACATTAATAACCAACGAAACAGGACCACGACACATCCGTGCTATGATCCCGTGGAACTGCCGAAGCGAAGACGAAACGCAGCTTGCACGGTTGCTATCTTATCGCCTGGTGACAGAAGTGGGAGTGACGATTTCTTGGAAACAAAGATTTAACGACGAAATGGAAAAGGAATAATAACCAAGTTAATTCTGCGTCGTTCTTGCCTCCAGAGAAAGACGAAGTTACTAGCTAGAGTAGCTAGCTAGCTGCCAGTTTGCTTGCAAGCACAGCAATATTACAGAGAATGTAAAGCCTCTAAATTAAGTGCAACGTTTTTGAGACTTTCTAGCTATGTCGAAGAACACGTACTTAAAACACATGTACTTTTTAACATAAGATTAGGTTACTGGTGATGTTCATGTTGGTGGGTATGCGGACCTTTACGAAAAAGTAAGAGTGAGAATTTTTCTACTTTAATAACTACCACTGCTGAAAAATGGCCGGGATTAAATCATCCTCGCGTTGAATATGACAACCATGGTTATAGAAGTGGGAAGTATGTTGAGAGACCTCTATAAATAAACTCGGTTAATCAACCCGACAGTAGTCAATAGTTAAAAATTAAGGCGTAAATTCCCCATGGAATTTAATCTCAGTAGATAGGTAGATGACCTTGTGAACTTGCTGGGATTTCAACCCACGACTTCCAAACAAGGTCACCGGTGCCCTGACGTACGAGCTAAGAGCCAGAGGTGCTCAAGTCCTGGTTTATAAAGTGTTCGTTCGTGCCAGTGACGTAACTTTCATGAGATCCCGATAGTTCCTCTCATTGGTTGCCTGGTTACAGATTTCATGCGCGAGTTACATGTTCAACCAATCAAGAGACAATACAAGGATCTCGGTAGAGTTCCGTCATCGGTCCGGATTTTGCGGGGACGGATATCACATTTTTCTCTTATGAGATTGAATTGAGTATAAATGGAGAAAAGACTGTTCCCGAAGCTATAAACCACCCTTTCGATAGAAAATTACCCAACAAGGATTGGTGCCACCACTGCTGACTCGTATACAGTCTCTAATATCTGGTTGGAGAAATTAATCCAGCTAAGTTACGCTACAGATACCAAACATTTCCAAAATAGCGAGCTGATTCTATTGAAAAAGGAGTATTTAAAATTTTCAAAACATCAGTTCTCTAATTATGCTATAACATCCCAAAAGTAGCAAAACCGGGCCGATCGTGTTCTGTTTTATTTTTTATTTACTTTTTGTAGGCGCAATATGAATGGCCGTAGTATCTATAGACCAACTCACGAGATTTTATCGGCCCCAGTAAACAGAAAGGAGAACTATAATTTCTGAAAAAGTAATTCAGTTTTGCATTACAATTATTGGAACCGTTCAATAGTTTATAGACTTTGATCTTTGACAGAAATTGACAAGGAAGTATTAAGATAAAGAAACAAATTAAAGAAAGATTGCGGACATAATAAGCATAGAGACCAAGTTCCTAATTAAATCATTCAAATAAAATATCTTCTAGTAGGATATTCGATTTCCCGATCATGCTTAGTTTGAAGGAAATCTCACAATCTTGTGTATGTGCTCGCCGTCGTTAAATTATGTACAGCATTATTTTACTCTTTGGTCCCATCCACACTACTCCGGAGAAATTTGAAAACGCAGCTTTATTTCTACGGTTAGGCCTACCGCCTACACTAATCCGTCACGAAAACGGAGCTTTTCGAAAAAGCTTTTAAAACTTGAGGATTTGAAAACGCCGTCTTTGTGTTTTCGTGTGGACGGAAAGCATTTTGAAAGCGTAGCATTTCGAAAACTATGAAATCATGACAATCATATAATTTACCTGCTCGAGTTTTCCTCAAATAAAAATCCAAAATGACCGGTGATTGTTGCGTTTTCAAATTCCTTCAACGTAGTGTGGACGGAAAACATTTCAGTAATGCGTTTTCAGAGTAAACACGCCGTTTTCAAATTTCTGTGACGTAGTATACACGGGGACGCCTACATTCACGCTTTTAAAAAAAAGTGTTAGTCTGTCATATGTTGTTTCCAGGCTCCTACGGCCTGAATTTCGGCTGTCTCCGGCTGCACTCTCGAAAAGGCATCACAAAACAAAACCAAATATTGGTGTAGCGAGAACTGAGAACTAATCAAATCATTTAATGCAACTGGTCTTCCCAACGCTTTATTCTGATGCAAATGAGTTTTTGTTTCCCTTGGCTTTGTTTCCGTTGACATATCATTCCTTTTCTAAACAGAATGTCCAGCTGGCTAGAGAATGGTCTTGAAGTCTAGTGTAACTTCAGGCGAATTGAACAAAATTCCCCGATATCACGCCATTAAAAATATTTACTTACAAAATGAGGACTATTATTTTTTGTGATGGGGTTCATTAGCGATAGTGAAAACACAGTTGAAATTTTGATATCCCGTCATATATTGCAGTTTACTTTGAATACAATTTTGTCATGTTTTATTGATTTGTACGGCGGTCATGAATATTTTACGATTTTTCCGGCTTTGGCGATATACACAACATATAGTGGTCTGTCAATTGAAGTAGAGCTAGCGCTTTTAAACTTCACTACTGACACTATGGCTCACACCAAACGTATATTGGTACCAATTGACGACAAGGAACATTGTATGAGAGCTTTTGACTGTAAGTATATGACGGCAGCTGAATACTTCGCTGTAGCGTTTAACACCGTGAGCATCGTGCATGTCTTTCCGTCAAAACTAGAGTCCGTTTAACGATTTCACTCGAAATTAAAAGTAAAAATAACACTTAAAAACCAAAGACAATTTCTCGGGGGCAAGAATGCAAAAAATATACATAATTATAGCGATTTGCTGTAAAAGAAATAATCAGAACTAAGCTGTTCAAATTTTGCGGTCTTTTAGTTTTTTTGCCAGGTGGTAGTTTCGAATGGCGCCATTGTTTCTTCAGACAAGAGGCTGTTCTATTTTTTATGTGCATGATTGAAAAAGAGGTCAAAAAACGATGGACAGCGGCGCAGACAACATAAATGTCCAAATTCTGGGTTTCGCAGCCACCAGGAAGCATTTTGACCCTTTTCACTAAATTTGAAAATTTTCTGTGCTTGTCATGAAGGCGATAACAGATTTATAGTTAACACTATGCTTACTTCTTTTCAATAATCGATCTCTGATTCCTTATATTAGCTAGCTTCATTGGACGAATTTCAAATCCACTCTTGCTAGATTTTCAAAGGAAATATAGAATCTGCAAGTTAATTTGTAAAAACTTCCGCTTTAAATGTTATAAATTATTCCTCGCTGAATTGGATTACTCTTTTGAAAACACGGCTTAGCTCAGGCAAGAAATGAATGTCCCAATGTAAGAACAGAATTTTATCAATCTAGGGATTGTTTTCAATTGAATCATGTGAAAAATTTCATACCTTAAAAAGTCAATTTGTTGGAAGTAAAGCTCAACATTTAAAAGCTTTTGTTCTGCCGTGAGATTATATTATCTCTGCGGCAACACGTCTCTAAATAAACGTGGTTAAATTTAATTTAGGTGTACTTCAGAGTTATTAACTAGGAAAGCAAGCGAAATTTAAGGAGCGCAGTCATTTTTAAAACTCAACTCAATATTCATAACTCAAACTTAAAAGTGAATGACCTCAACTCAAAAATTCGTGACATGCCAACCTCTCCAATGATAGCATATATTAACTTTATAATTTGACAAAGAAGCTTGACAGCGGGAAAGTATTAAAATCAAGTGAGCGAAAATGTAATCGCTTAACGCAGTTATTACTCGTAAATCTATAAAGATCTACGGCTTCTTTTAGTTTCTGTTATCCTACATGGAATAAAAAATGCAATATCAGACTTACGTTTCCCGTGCTAGTCTTAATGATGTGGCTATACACAGATGAATGGCAGCTGAAAACAGCTGTTTTTTGCTTTGTTTTTTTTTTCCCTCTCTTGAAACATAAGAATGAATTTGGCAGGGAGAGCATAAATTTCAGATTGTTTACAAACTCGGACAATTTTTTCTGGCAAGTTCTCAGAAAGAGATTTTTATCGTAGATACGGTAATATTTCAATGGAAAAGTTCTCAAAGTCTGTTTAAAAAATAGATTTCACAGCGTGATAAAATCATGTAAACAATCTAGAACCTTAACAATTCGTCTTTCTTTGAAAGACAAAGTCAGATAACGATCGCCTCTGCTTTTACTTTGTCGCAAAGCAGACACTTTCAGACAAGATACCGTTTTTTGTGGCATTGCAGCGCATTTTTTAAGATTAGAAATACTTCAAAGCTCGCCTTAGGTCACGTACTTGTCAGACGACCGCCATCTTGGATTTACACACCTGAAAGAGCCTGGGACGAGATTGTGCTGTTCCCGAATAGACCTATTTCGCTTGGCGGTTTGTTGCCCCGTATCAGACCATGTGATGATACTCTTAAGAAGTCTTGCTTTCAAATTTTCAAATAGTGGCGTGTATTTAAATGAATAATTTTTATACTGATAAAAGAACAATTCTCCAGAGACTGATCGCGTGGTCTGAAATAGGAAAACAAACCGCCCAAGCTAAAATTTGAATTTCTTAGTACGTACTGTTTCACTTAGGAACAAACATGCAGTTGTTTAACTAATCCGGTACAAACAATATTAATTATTTTCATCCCATTCATTCTATAACACTAATCAGCTACGGTTCCAGCTTCTTTTGCAACCTATCGAGTTTTGTTTTCGCATAATTCGCATAGAAGTACCCTTTGGTAGTCCATATGGAGATGCGGTGGGAAACGGGCACCGCCGAATTTACTGATGGTGGTAACCTTGTGATGATCCCACACCCCATACAGGGGGGTGAGAGTGGGGAGAGGAGGGAGAGAGAAGAAATACTCCTAGTCACTTCGTGCTATCGAAACTGCTGCATGGGTTACGGGTCTGAGGCAGAGGTTACCTTTAGCTTACTCTGGTAATCAATGTGAGCTTTGATTGGCTTATGGTTAAGTTTCTTTCGACCAATTGATAAATTAATTGTAATTACTATAATAAACTATCCGTTAAAAGAGTTCTAATGACTGTTTCTACAACCGTGTGACCTCGAACGGATTTGGTAAGAATTGCTTGCGCATTCGAAATGCAATAAAATACAATAATCCTATACGACCTCTATAGTCAAAGACCAATAAAGGAAAACAAAAGTTCACACTATAGAAAGAATACACCCATAATGCCATCATTTCATGTTGATATATTTTTACAGGGTACCTTGAAAACTATGGGCAAGACAAGCAGGAGATTATCCTACTGCATGTGTACAACACGATTGATCATGTCACCCAGTACTCAGACGATGATTCAGAAGGTAAGATTTCAATCCCTTTTAGCAGGTACTTTGGTAGTCACACAACGCTTATCCTCAAGTTGCGTTACAATCGTAATAAGGCCTTACTTTTCCTGTTGAGTATTGGCTTATTGACTTACATCCTTTCACCCCTTGGGGGCAAAGGGACATAGTATTCTTAGTGAGATAATTTTGTGTTAGATCTTATCGGTATTTGCAAAGCGCCGTTTTCTTGCACTCTTTGAGTTTAGCACTAATATGAAATACTAAAGTAATAACGTGCGTTACAATGATATTTATATTTCCAATATAACTTGTATGTACCTTGTTTCATATCAGATACGTCTGAAATGCGTGTGGATGAAATGAGGAACATCATGAAAGCAGCCAATAAACAAGCTAAAGGCATGCTTCAGAAATTCGTGGACAAATGCAAGAAAGTTGAGGTACATTTGTACATGACATGAGTTAACTAATAAATATATTTCAACACTTTCAAAATAAACTACCGCCACTTAGGTGCTTTGTTTTACCTTCGATGCATGCAATACCATTACAAGTGGTCATTACAAGGGAATTAAAGGACCTGTTTAAAAACGGTTTCTGTTTTCGGTTTCATTTCTCGGGCTTCCCTAGGAAAGCCGGAGTCATAAAATGCAAGCCGTTCTGTCTTGGGCGCCAAAAGGGGGGTTATGGTCCCAGGCGTTCCCAGCGTAGAGGTTGGAAACTGGCCATGAGAATGCGAAAGCTTGCTTTATCGTGTGCTCGCTCTTCGTGAGCAATGTAATATGTAAACAGAATGCTGCGTTTGGTGAAGAAGGATTTGGAAAGAACTACGCCTTATAAATTCGTCTTACATACAAAGATGTCTTACATACAAAGATGTCGATCGTTTTCGGAACGGGTCGGTCCAAGAATTAGTGATGCTTGAAAGCCTGCCAAATAAACAAAGTTCATGCTCGTTCTCGCGAGATAACAAATGAGCCATGTACGAGTTCAAACACGCCGTGACGAACACCACCTCAGATGTCGAAAAAATCAAGAATCGTCGCAAACAGAACCTCGAAGATTAGGCAAACAACATACAATTGGATAAAGAGGATACTCAACGAAGCAACTTGAATAGTAAACTCACGCTAAGCGTAACTCTCGTGTTAAAATATCCTGATTCTTTTATTTGTTTTTATTGTGTTAACTAAGCTTACTTGTAGAGTACGATTTGATATTGCGGCAGGAAGCCCGAATAAACGTTCTTGGAGATTCTAGTTTTTTTTTAACGTTACAGCTACGAAAATTGTTGGAGGCGAAGTGCCCGAGTGGTTAGGGCGCCGGAATACGGAGGTCGAGGGTTTAAGTCCCGCTCTGACAACTAAGCTGGAGTTGTTTCTCAGTAGACCCTAGTTCAACTCCTCGGTTATGCTTGTAAATAGCTAACCGGTCTGCCTCCTGCCAGTTGGGATTTTTAAGCCTGTTATGTTTATTTGAAATATTTGTTTCTTTCAGTTTAAGTGGCATGCCTGTAAACTAGTCAAGTGTAGCTATAATATAAGCGTATTGACAACTATAAACATTCAACAAGACTCAAAGTAGGGTACAATGCGTACTCCTGTTCTTTTCAGTTAATCTTTTAGATAATACTTACGTCTTCTAATTTTCAGGTGCCTTACAAAACTAGAATTGAGCTAGGTACACCAGGAGACGCCATTTGCAAAGTTGCAAAAGACGAAAACGTCACGTGCATAGTATTAGGAAATCGCGGACTTGGGGCTTTCCGAAGAACCATATTAGGCAGTGTCAGTGATCACGTGGTTCATCATTCGAGAGTTCCGGTTCTGCTTGTACCACCAAAGTAACATTTCTCGGGATAAAACGAAAATGCTGTCGTTCGGTTCGTTAATTGGCCGGTCGCTCGGCCTTTTTGTTGCACTTGGAACATTTTGGTATCTTATGTATTGTACATTGGTACATTATGTATTAAGCTAGCAATATCGCTGGAGGTTAATTTGCTGTTATTACTAGAACAAATTATGTATTATTATTAACAATGGTTTAATAATAATTAATAATAATAATAATAATAACAATTGTGATAATGTATTATTACTTGAAGGTGTATTCTTTCGCGTAGTTTCGTAAATATGTGTACTCCGAAATTGTACAGATGATCGGTTATTTATTCTTCGTTTCGCCTTGCCTTAGATAAGTATTTTTTTGCTATTTGCGGCTGAAGAAGATATTAGTCTTGTAATCTATCTAAATATTATTTACCAAACTCGTAAACTTGTAATCTTATTTACAATGGTATTGTGATCAAATTAGTGCACAAAGATTATTAAACAAACACCTCATTGTAATTTCGCTTTATAAACCCTATTTAGAACGGGGACGGAGTTTAAACGTAAGCACATACCAAACTTTGCACTGTACTGGAAAATTCATTTGGGAGCAATTTGGTATCGCATGTCATTACGCACGGACACTTTGATAAACATAGTATTTAATTTTAAGCATCCTGATATGTAACAAAACTGTCTTTAGTGACAATTCCATTCTTGGGTCATTTTATTGTCTCTTGCTTTAATCTTAGTTTCTTTTAGGTCCGTCTTGATGGTAGTATGACGTCATGGAAACATCAAAAAATCGAAGACGTGGTTTAATTTGTTCAAAAAAGTCATGACGTCGCATGACGCAATCGTTTCACGTTACCGCAAAAGTTTTTGAGCGTACCATACATCCCTCGTTTGTAATTTTAGTTCTAGAGTTATAGTTATAGAAAAGAGAGAAACTGTCTACATCGTTGATGGCCTGTTATAAGCATTCGAATGGTTGGGAACATTACGAGAAACGAGATTTCTAAATATTATTTAACAAACTCGTAAACTTGTAATCTTATTTACTTGTAGAAAAAGTAGAGTTGTTGAGCTTGTAGAAAAAGGGCCGGGAGTTTGTTATTTTGTTGTTGTTGTTGTTGTTATTGTTGCTTTTTTTTTAACTCACTGCCTTTCTCGCTGCTCCCTGTCTAACTTACTCTTGAAATAGGCGGTATTTGTCTGGATTCTATAGAATATTTGACTCCTCAATGTAGAATTTGACCATGAGAGTTTTTTATCTTAGTTGATTGTAAGTTTCAGAGGGTGTCAATGACAACGACATTCAGTAACATTCTCTTATAACATAGCCTTAGCAAAGCGTGTTCTCTGATTGCTAATACGCGCGATCCATTTGCGCGTGGGTTGCACGCTGACGTCAGTTTGTTTGTTTGCACTTATCTCGGCAGTTTTTCTCATCGAATTTATCCCCGTTTAAAACGTAATTTTTATTTTTTCCTCCTAAAATATGATAAAATCTAATTATTCTTCCGGAAATGAGGAGGATAATTTCTGTGAGCTACCAAACCTCGAGCTCAAGTTTTTTTTGCCGGGCCTCCACGCAAGAGATTTGCTAAATTAAGCTAGCAGGAGTTGAATCAGCTGGTTGAACAAATACTCGGAGAAGACCAAGAAAACAACAAACTGGTCTGTATCAACCCTTCGAGGTTTGTTATGGATAGCGGTAATTTTTAGGCAGAATTTTTCAGCGATTTGACGACAATAAAATTCAGCACAAGCTATCGTTGTAAAACTTTTCTGGCGTCGAAAGCCATTTAAATACTTTCGGCGAGCAAAACTTGTACATGACAGTTTTAGTAAATTTCTGTTTTAAGTGAAGTCTTACATACGTTATAATATAAGCCGAGAAATTTCGGAGTTTTGATTGGTTGATAGTATCACTATTTCCGAGTCATAGTGGTATAACAGCAAAAATGGATGGTATAACAAGGTTACCATGACAACACTGAACACAATTACGTTTTTGCTTTTGTTTTCAAATTTTAAAAAATGGCGGCAAGGTTTCCGGAAGTTTCCTGTGAGGAAATAGAAAAGCTCGCCGAAAAAGCAGTAAACAAAAATACAGTCAAAACTACTAAGACGTGGATGAATATTTGGAAGTCATGGGAAGAAAGCAAGGGTCTTAATGATGACATTGTCAAATACGAAGCTAAAGAACTGGATGAATGTCTCTCGCGATTCTTTGCCGAAATTCACAAAAGCGATGGCTCCGACTAGGAGCCGGACAGCCTAAGGGTTATGTTAGCTGCCCTCTACAGACACCTCAAACAAAATGACAGCAAAATATCCATAGCAAACGACCGATAATTCGTCAAGTGCAGACAGTTCCTGGAGGGAAAAGCAAGAGTTCTTCGCGAAAAAGGCCACGGAAAACGACCAAATGCAACTAAAGCACTTACCGTCCAAGACGAAGAGCAGCTATGGAAAAGTCGTGTGCTTGGCAAACAAAATCCAAAGTCATTCCTTTATACTCTGTGGTATCTGCTCACCCTTCATTTTGGTCTTCGAGGTTGCCAAGAGCACCATGAAATGTTTGTCGAAGATTTCAGCTTGAACAAGGACAACCAAGGCACAGAGTACGTAACATTCGAAGAAAACCCAACAAAGACCCGGCAAGGC